CCTCCCAACAAAAAAGTCTTGGACCAAATGGTTTCATAGTCAAATTTTATCAGACCTACAAAGAACTGGTACCTACACTACAGAAATTATTTCATAACAGAGAAGGAAGAATCCTCCCCAACTCATTCCACATAACTAAAGCGAGGAAAGGATACAATAACAAAAAAAGAAAATTCTCAATAAAATTCTAGCAAATTGAATTCAGCTGCATATGGAAACAAACCAAAACAAAACCCACCATAATAAAGGCGGCTTCATCCCAGAGATGCAAGGATAATTCAACATGGGAAGTCTATAAATGTAATTCACCATTTAAATAGAAGCAAAAGCAAAGACCATATGATCACTTTTTTTTTTTTATTGAGACAGAGTCTCACTTTGTCGTCCTTGGTAGAGTGTCATGATGTCACAGTTCATAGCAACCTCAAACTCTTGGGCTTAAGCATTCTCTTCCCTCAACCTCCCAAAGTAGCTGGGACTACAGGCAACCACCACAATGCATGGCCATTTTTTTGATTGCAGTTGTCATTGTTGTTTAGCAGGCCCAAGCTGGGCTTGAACTCACCAGCCTCGTTGTATGTGGCTGGCACCCTACTCACTGAGCTAAGGGCGCCGAGCCGATGATCTTTTGATATATGCAGAAAAAGCATTAGACAGAATTCACCACCCTTTTATGATAAGAACTCTCAACAAAATAGGCATAATAGATGGCACAAATCTCAATATTTTCTTTTTTTTTGAGATAGAGTCTTACTTTGTCGCCCTCGGTAGTGTGCTGTGGTATCACAGCTCACAGCAGCCTCAAACTCTTGGGCTTAAGTGATTCTCTGGTCTCAGACTTCCAAGTAGCTGGGACTACAGGTGCCTGCCACAACACCCAGCTATTTTTAGAGATGGGGTCTTGCTCTTACTCAGGCTGGTCTCGAATTCATGAACTCAGGTGATCCTCCTGCCTCAACCTCCCAGAGTACTTGGATTACAGGCGTTAGCCACTACACTCGGACCGACACATACCTCAATATTACAAAAGCTATATATGACAGATCCACAGCCAACATCATACCAAATGGAGAAAAACTGGAAGCATTCCTGGTTAGAACTAGAATGAGACAGGCTGCCCACTATCACCACTTCTGTTCAACATAGTGCTGGAAGACCTAGCCAGAGCAGGCAGGCAAGAGAAGGAAATCAAGGGTATCCAAATAGGGAAAGAAGTCAAATTATTACTTTTTGCTGATGATATAATCTTTTTTGTTTTTTTTTTGAGACAGAGCCTCAAACTATCCCCCTGGGTAGAGTGCCGTGGCATCACAGCTCACAGCAACCTCCAACTCCTGGGCTTAAGCGAGTCTCCTGCCTCAGCCTCCTAAGTAGCTGGGACCACAGGTGCCTGCCACAATGCCTGGCTATTTTTGGTTGCAGCCATCATTGTTGTTTTGGCAGGCCTGGGCTGGATTCAAACCCACCACCTTAGGTGTATGTGGCTGGCACCTTAGTCACTTGAGCCACAGGTGTCGAGCCTGATGATATAATTTTATATCTCGAAAATCCCAAAGATTCTACTAAGACACTCTTAGAATTGACAAATAAATTCAGCAAAGTCTCAGGTTAAAAATCAATGTATACAAATCAGTAGCATTCCTATATACCAACCACAGTCAAGCTGAAAAACAAATCAAAGTCTCAATACCTTTCATGATAGCAACAAAGGAAATAAAATATCTAGGAATATATTTAACTAAGGAGATAAGAGATCTCTACAGGGAGAACTATGAAAGACTGGCTCGGTGTCTATAGCTCAACCGGCTAAGGCGCCAGCCACGTACACCTAAGGTGGCAGGTTCGAATCCCCAG